GGGGCCAAAGCCCAAGGGCTTCAGCCCTGGGCGGCAGGGCTCAGGTTACAGCCCCCTCTCCCCTGGGCTGAAGCCCTTGGGGTTCGAATTTGGCCCCCAGGGGTGGCGGGGATCAGGCTTCGGTCCCCCCTCCTGCAGTCTTGTAGTAATTTTTGTTATCAAAAGGGGGTCCATGGTACAATGAAGTTTGATAACCCCTGTCTTAGCAAAATCCAAATGCTATAAGAACCAATCCTGTAACATTTATTGGTAGAAATGTTGAAAATTATTCTCCTTCTGGTGCCTGGGAATAACCCAGAACTCCCAACCTGCAATGGGCGTACTGTGGCATGGCTGAGCACAGACAGGGGTGGTGTTGGGCAGAGGCCCCTTTGGTGCCGGGCTAATGTATCTCTGCTCCTTTCCCCCTCGCTCACACAGGTGCTGGGTTTGGAGTCCTCATCTCGTAGTGGCCAAGAGCAGCAATCCAGAAACCAGGGAAGGCTGTGACCATGAGCTGTTACTAGAACAACACTGCCTGCACAAACATGTTTGGTATCAGCAATCCCAGGAAGCAGTGGCAGATTAACCACTGGGCTGACGGGGTCTATGCCCAGGAGCTCCGTGCCCCAGCCCTGCTCCCCAGCATGTTTCGGGCCCAGCAGCAGGACAGAGCAGCTTTTCCCCTGCACTCTGGGTCCAGCCTCAGCAGCTGGAGGCCACCTCCTGGGTTCTAGTGTTGGCCTGTTTCCTCTACAGCTCTACAGACAATCCAGGAAGTTTTTGGAAAGTGTAGGGGACAATTTCCTGGTGCAAGTGCTGGAGGAACCAACTAGGGGCAGAGCTCTTCTTGACCTGCTGCTCACAAACCGGGAAGAATTAGTAGGGGAAGCTAAAATGGATGGGAACCTGGGAGGCAGTGACCATGAGATGGTCAAGTTCAGGATCCTGACACAGGGAAGAAAGGAGAGCAGCAGAATACAGACCCTGGACTTCAGAAAAGCAGACTTTGACTCCCTCAGGGAACTGATGGGCAGGATCCCCTGGGAGAATAACATGAGGGGGAAAGGAGTCCAGGAGAGCTGGCTGTATTTTAAAGAATCCTTATTGAGGTTACAGGGAAAACCATCCCGTTGTGTAGAAAGAATAGTAGATTTGGCAGGCGACCAGCTTGGCTTAACAGTGAAATCCTTGCTGATATTAAACACAAAAAAGAAACTTACAAGAAGTGGAAGATTGGACAAATGACCAGGGAAGAGTATAAAAATATTGCTTGGGCATGCAGGAGTGAAATCAGGAAGGCCAAATCACACCTGGAGTTGCAGCTAGTAAGAGATGTTAAGAGGAACAAGAAGGGTTTCTTCAGGTATGTTAGCAACAAGAAGAAAGTCAAGGAAAGTGTGGACCCCTTACTGAATGAGGGAGGCAACCTAGTGACAGGGGATGTGGAAAAAGCTAATGTACTCAATGCTTTTTTTGCCTCTCTCTTCACGAACAAGGTCAGCTCCCAGACTACTGCACTGGGCAGCACAGCAATGGGGAGGAGGTGACCAGCCCTCTGTGGAGAAAGAAGTGGTTCGGGACTATTTAGAAAAGCTGGACGAGCACAAGTCTATGGGACCGGATGCGCTGCATCCGAGAGTGCTAAAGGAGTTGGCGGATGTGATTGCAGAGCCATTGGCCATTATCTTTGAAAACTCATGGCAATCGGGGGAAGTCCCAGACGACTGGAGAAAGGCTAATGTAGTGCCCATCTTTAAAAAAGTGAAGAAGGAGGATCCGGGGAACTACAGGCCAGTCAGCCTCACCTCAGTCCCTAGAAAAATCATGGAGCAGGTCCTCAAGGAATCAATTCTGAGCACTTAGAGGAGAGGAAAGTGATCAGGAACAGTCAGCATGGATTCACCAAGGGCAAGTCATGCCTGACTAATCTAATTGCCTTCTATGATGAGATAACTGGCTCTGTGGATGAGGGGAAAGTGGTGGACATGTTGTTCCTTGACTTTAGCAAAGCTTTTGAAACGGTCTCCTACAGCATTCTTGCCAGCAAGTTAAACAAGTATGGGCTGGACGAATGGACTATAAGGTGGATAGAAAGTTGGCCAGATTGTCGGGCTCAATGGGTAGTGATCAATGGCTCCATGTCTAGTTGGCAGCCGGTATCAAGTGGAGTGCCCCAAGGGTCAGTCCTGGGGCCGGTTTTGTTCAATATCTTCATAAATGATCTGGAGGATGGTGTGGATTGCACTCTCAGCAAATTTGCGGATGATACTAAACTGGGAGGAGTGGTAGATACGCTGGAGGGGAGGGATAGGATACAGAAGGACCTAGACAAATTGGAGGATTGGGCCAAAAGAAATCTGATGAGGTTCAATAAGGATAAGTGCAGGGTCCTGCACTTAGGACGGAAGAACCCAATGCACAGCTACAGACTAGGGACCGAATGGCTAGGCAGCAGTTCTGCGGAAAAGGACCTAGGGGTGACAGTGGACGAGAAGCTGGATATGAGTCAGCAGTGTGCCCTTGTTGCCAAGAAGGCCAATGGCATTTTGGGATGTATAAGTAGGGGCATAGCGAGCAGATCGAGGGACGTGATCGTTCCCCTCTATTCGACATTGGTGAGGCCTCATCTGGAGTACTGTGTCCAGTTTTGGGCCCCACACTTCAAGAAGGATGTGGATAAATTGGAGAGAGTCCAGCGAAGGGCAACAAAAATGATTAGGGGTCTGGAACACATGAGTTATGAGGAGAGGCTGAGGGAGCTGGGATTGTTTAGCCTGCAGAAGAGAAGAATGAGGGGGATTTGATAGCTGCTTTCAACTACCTGAAAGGGGGTTCCAAAGAGGATGGCTCTAGACTGTTCTCAATGGTAGCAGATGACAGAACGAGGAGTAATGGTCTCAAGCTGCAGTGGGGGAGGTTTAGGTTGGATATTAGGAAAAACTTTTTCACTAAGAGGGTGGTGAAACACTGGAATGCGTTACCTAGGGAGGTGGTAGAATCTCCTTCCTTAGAGGTTTTTAAGGTCAGGCTTGACAAAGCCCTGGCTGGGATGATTTAACTGGGAATTGGTCCTGCTTCGAGCAGGGGGTTGGACTAGATGACCTTCTGGGGTCCCTTCCAACCCTTATATTCTATGATTCTATGATTCTATGACACTCAACTAGGAGGAGAGGTAGATACGCTGGAGGGTAGGGATAGGATACAGAGGGACCTACACATATTAGAGGATTGGGCCAAAAGAAATCTGATAAGTTTCAACAAGGACAAGTGCAGAGTCCTGCACTTAGGACGGAAGAATCCCATGCATCGCTACAGACTAGGGACCGAATGGCTCGGCTGCAGTTCTGCAGAAAAGGACATAGGGGTTACGATGGACGAGAAGCTGGATATGAGTCAACAGTGTGCCCTTGTTGCCAAGAAGGCCAATGGCATTTTGGGATGTATATGTGGGGGCATTGCCAGCAGATCGAGGGATGTGATCGTTCCCCTCTATTCGACATTGGTGAGGCCTTATCTGGAGTACTGTGTCCAGTTTTGGGCCCACACTACAAGAAGGATGTAAAAAATTGGAAAGAGTCCAGCGGAGGGCAACAAAAATGATTAGGGGACTGGAACACATGACTTATGAGGAGAGGCTGAGGGAACTGGGCTTGTTTAGTCTGCGGAAGAGAAGAATGAGGGGGGATTTGATAGCTGCTTTCAACTACCTGAAAGGGGGTTCTAAAGAGGATGGATCTAGACTGTTCTCAGTGGTAGCTGATGACAGGACAAGGAGTAATGGTCTCAAGTTGCAGTGGGGGAGGTTTAGGTTGGATATTAGGAAAAAAATTTCACTAGGAGGGTGGTGAAGCACTAGAATGCATTACCCAGGGAGGTGGTGGAATCTCCTTCCTTAGATATTTTTAAGGTCAGGCTTGAGAAAGCCCTGGCGGGGATGATTTAGTCGGGGATTGGTCCTCCTTTGAGCAGGGGGTTGGACTAGATGACCTCCTGAGGTCCCTTCCAACCCTGATATTCTATGATTCTATGAATGCGGCCTGGGTCCATGGTGGTGGGAGGGGAGACAGAGCTTCTCCGATCTTGGGGCCGCAGTGGAGAGAGTGAGAGAGATGCTGACTAATCAACCTGTACCTGAGATCACAGACTTATGGCCTTCATAACCATGAACAACAGCAGCATTGGCAGTGACACTAGCTATGGAGCCGCATCTAGGCACTCAGATACCCCTGAGATTGGTGCTAGACTGAGAGTAACAACTAACAGGGGCATCAGTCCTCCTGCATAAACTGTTCAGGACCTGAGGACAGAAATAATATTAATATTTAACAGATAATTGCCCCTCCACACACCTGTGTCTCTGTTCCATTTACAGTATTGTGCAAATAGTTGTGGGGGAATTAACATCTTCCTTTAAGTAGTGGCCACTCTCACAGACAGTCCACCCTATCTCTGCCTGTGCTGCTGGAATTTAACTAACTCCCCATTGCCTATAGTGCGTTGCTTCCCGGGAAAGGAGAAGAAGAAAGTAGCTAGATTATCAGAATGGTCTAATATAGCCTTCCCCACTCTGGCCACTTCAGGGCAGTGTAGAGCTAACAAACCAAAGCATCCAAGAGCAAAACCAGAAAAGGAGTCAACAATCTTCCTGACTGAGTCTATAGCTTCACCCCTGTAACATACAGCCAGTTATCAAGTGTGGAGGAGAATATCTGAACACAGGAGAGATGGGGAGAGTCAGAGGGGAGGGTGTCCTTGTCTGAGAATTTGCAGATGCAGAGATTATTTAAAGCACCAACATTTATCTGGTGTCTTCCATCTTCCTGACAGATCCTAAAGCATGCTGCATTCTAACAATAGGAAATTCTCACCCACCACTGAAATGTAGCCAAGACAGGGATGGAATATGGCAGCTGTCCTTTGCCAGTACTGCTGCAGTGTCATGTGACTTTTCCCTTTGGAACTGCCAGGGGGATCTAGAGAGGCAGAAAGAGATCAAGATTTGGCCAGGACACTGACTGAGCAGGAAACAGACATATCCCAGAATGCTCACTGTCAGGATCACACAACCCTAATGTAAAAATATTTTCACTGATCAATGTGAAGCAGCAACAGGCTTTGTGTAGAGGGAGAGGGGCCAAAGTCACACATTTTGCATCAGAATGTCTAACCACCACAATTCCGACGTGTGCAGATCTGGGCTTGGAGTTTTATCCATAATGGAATGAGAGGCAGTTGCACACTTCAGATCCACATCTGGACCCTGCTTTACTACCTCTCATATTTGCACTGCCTCATGATCATCAGTTCTGCTCCCTTTTGTGGTTTTACAGAGCTCCGCCTGCTAAAGGCACACAGAACTTTGTTCAATGGAAATGATCACTCTGGCTTGTCTTTGCTGCAGACGCCATGTGGAGGGCGTTGGGTCTCTTCCTTGGCTTCCAGCTGCTGGCAGGTAAGAAACTGTCTTTGATAAATGTTTTGACTCCAGGATGCTACAGCTTTACTTTAGCGTCTGAGATAAGAAGCAGAATGTGGGGAGGAGGGTGTTTGCTGCAGATGATGGAAGCTTCACAGGAGAAGGCTCCAGTACCAAACTGACAAGAACGTGTGAAGGGACAAAGGGAGGAAACCTTTGCTAGATGAATGGCGGAAGCAGGGAGGAATATGGAGGAGCTGCTTCCAGATGGCAGGAACTGGGCAGGAGTGGGCTTATGTACTGACTGTGGTAAGGTTGTGGGAAGAGACTGAGGTCAGGCCATTGATAGAAGTGAGGAGAGAGTAATACAAACATAAGGTCAGTGAGGTGACTAGACCTCACTCTCCATGGAGGCGCTGAAAATCAAAGGAGGAGTTTTGGAACTGGATCCTGAAATGCACAGAGACCTGGTGAGGTGTGTTCCACCCTCCATGGCCCTCATTCACCCTGTCCCCTTCACTCTCCTTTGCAGGTCTTTGCAGTGGGGTGACAGTGACACAGAAGGAGAAGTTTATAGCCATCCAGAATGGGAGAAAGGGAAGTATCCCATGTGAACATGATGTCAGCTCCTACTATACTGTCCTGTGGTATCAACAGAAGGCTACAGAAAGGCAGCTGCAGTTAGTAGCCACCTCCGTAGTGAGGGACTGAGTGTTCTGACTGAGTGTTCTCTGAGAGCAAATAAGTTTCAGAAATGGTTAAACCCGAAGAGCTATTCAGAATAGTGGGTAAATTAATATTCACGAATGCTGTTTTGGCTGCATTAGACCAGCTCATTCATAGATAGATACATACATACATGCATACACTCTATGTATGCATGTTAGTGTGCAAACAAGTTCACTGTGGGGGACACGACACCTTCTCGGCACGGGGCAATGTCACAGATAGTCCACCCCATGTTCACCTGTGCTGCTGGCATTTAACTAACTCCCCAGTAACTACAGTGGATTCCCAGAAAAGCAGAAGAAGAAAGGAAACAGGCTATCAGAAATATTTTCTATTAGCCTTCCTGGTAATGGCCACTGGAGGGGGATCAGAGACACGGGAAACCAAAGAGAAACACCTGAGAAGACCTAAATGAGATGTCAGAGAGCAGTGAGAAGGGTGACACACGTGGAATGATGTCATCAGGAGTGAGACCCAGATCTGGAGTGTCAGAGAGAAGTTGCAAGAAAGGAGGCTGAGATGGTATGGACATCTACTAAGGATGGATGAAGGAAATCATGTGAGGGAGGCACTTGAGACTAGAGTTCGTGGGCAGAGAACAAGAGGATGGCCAAGAAAATGGTGGTGGACTGCGTATGGTAGTGGCAGGGAGTGAGCCTTCCACCAGCAAGCCAGGAAAAGACTGATCCAGCGACCTGACCCCAGCTAGCTGGGAAAAGAGAGGAAAAGAAGAAGAGGAAGAGCAAGAATTGATTTGTAATCCAGTGTTTAGGGCACTCACTTGGGGGGTTAAAGATCCCTGTTCAAATCCCTTCTCACTATCAGTCAGAGGGGAGACTTGACATAGGGTGTCCTCCGCATCCCAGGTGAGTACCCTAACCACTGGACAGTTTTGAAGGAGGTTGTCCTCCTCCAGCCATTTGTGTGGAGATAGGCAGCCTCAGAGCACATCTACCAGATTGGGCCCACAGACAAGATAGGCAGCTAGATACCTGTCTTACCCCAGTTCGTGGATCATTCTGGAGCTAAGACGTATGGGACCCTTGAGTGAGGCGGCAGTGTGCACACCCAGAGGCAGAAAAATAGACACCAGGGGAACTTTTACTCTCAAAACTTTAGGCATTTACAGGGTTAGGCAGCAGCCAAGCATTGCAGTAGTGTCTAAATCTAGGATTTAGGTGCCTATGTATCCAGGCCTTTTTGCCTGAAACTCTATCTGATAAAACTCTGGAATAAGCAATACATTCCTTCAAGTCAATCTGCCTTGATAACTCCTCATATTGTCTTTATAGACTCTCGTGTGCCTCTGCCTTCTCCCTTTGGTTTTAACTTTCCTCTTTTAGAAAATATGCTTCTCCAACCAATTCCTTCCAGTCTCCCTCTGAGATCTGAATCAGAGAAGTGACTTTATATTTGACTTCATATTTGTTCATTCATTTTTGTTTTGTAAAATAATCAAAAGAGCATTAGACTAGATTTTGTGACCTGGAAAAATCTAACCCTGAATGCTGTCAGTCCAACAACTTTCAAGAGCAGTAAAATTCCCTAAAAGAATAAATGGATCAGAACTCAGGTTCTATAGATGAAAAGGTCCAGATCCCATTCTGCACTATCCTTGACCCATTTTGATGTCTTGCAGAAACATTTTAGTTCAGTTTCAAAGTGGCATTTATAATGTAACCCTTCTTCCAGGTGGAGCTGTCAGCAACTAGGATATCTAGGGTTTCCTTTTCACCAATACCTAGAGGTTTCTTTTCAACAGTACAATACAGAACCAGCTCAAGCCCCATCCAGTAACCTGGGAAAATTACACACCACCCCTGGGTGCCTCTGAGAGGCAATAATTCCCCACTCGCAAGCACAGAGTCTGAGTATAGAAAATAAACTTTTAATGAAAGGAGGGAAGTTACCTGACATTGATTAGGGAAAATGCCACGAGCAGGATTCATAAGCATAAAACTGTGAGCAGGACACCCACCCCAGAGTGTGTGGGGCAGAGTTTCCCCTAATGTTCTTGAGTTCTACAACCAACAGTTCCTTTTTCCATGTCTCCCTTGGCTCCCTCTCCATACCCTACGCACAGTGGTTGTCCTTGGTGAGTTAGGAGTACAACCCAGGGTTCAGGGTGCATTTTGTGAGTTCACCTCCCATCCAGGGAAGAATGCACTTTGCTTGCTCCGCCATCTGAGCACTTGCTCTGGATGGCTGGCCCGCCAGCCACTGTTCCTCGTCACCTGGCTGCCTGCCAGCCGCTCTCCCACTCCACTGGCTGCCCCACCAGCTGCTCGTTCCAATCTGCTGGCCGTCCCACCAGCTGCCTGCTTCCTCCGGCTGTTCCCAGTAGCCACCTTCCTCTCTGCTGTGACCTCTGCAGGTCGGTCTCTTAAGATTCTAACCAACGCTTAGTGATTGTCAGCGCTTAGTAATTTTTAGCTCTTAGTGATTGTCAGCTCTTAGTGATTGTCAGCTCTTAGTTGGGGAACCTGAAGCAGGCTGGGAGGAAATGCCATCCCACCACAAGTGATTTCAGCTCTACTGAGCATTAAAATAACAAAAGACTCCTAATAAAACCTATTTAGCTCAATCTTTGAACAGTAGGGAGGAACAGGTTAAACCAGATCAGAGACCCTTAGGGAGAACCCACACCTCCTAGCTGAGATACTTGTCCCCACCCCTCTTACTGTCACAGGGCTCTGACATTTGAGCCCCTGGCTTAGTGAGTTCCTTTCAGCTGAGGGTGACCCCCTCATTCATGACAGGTTAAGCACAGTTCTGCTCCCCTTTACTCATACAATAAAGATAAAAACATTGCTAACAACATTTCACTACCCCACAGTATTAAAGTGGTTTGTAACCTAACACCAGCCAAAGTTGATCACTTTGAGCAACACCGCTCTGTCTGCTGGATATCTAAGCAGAGTAGGTTTGTTCACGTAAATACAGTCTGCACCTGAAGTCTCTCCCCATCCCCAACTAGCTGTCAGGGGAGAGCTCATTCAGACCCTGCTTACAATACCACAACAATATTTCAGGGTGCAATGCCATGGAGAAGCATTAGCGGTCAAGTGATAGACTGGGTAGACATAGACTGGGTGTCAGTAACACCTGCTGATGTTGATGCCTGCAGCAGAATTTGCACAAACACCCATAGTTAGCCATCAGCACTAAAACAACCTTCTCGTGTATAAGAGTTCTCCTGACACACCCAGCTACATCCAATAGTGCCCTTGCTCTGCTCTATTTCCAAAGAGCTTCCTATAGTGTTCTCTTCCCTCTGAGCCTGAAGTCTCAGCACCACTGAACTACAGAATCCATATCAGGCAATGCTAGACAGATGCTAATAAACAATGAAATCCCCACAACGCCTCCCAGCTTCGAGAACTCCACAGCTGACTGTAGATTGTTCATCTAGCGATCTCCAAAAAGCAGTTACACATAAGATTTGGATTTTCTCACCTTTGCAGGTAGGGAGGTGAAGGAAGATAATTGCTACAGGGAGGGGATGGGGAAACAGAAGGAAGTGAAAGATCTAGGCAGGAAGATCTCAAGAAAAATAAAGAAAGATCTCTCAGTGGGAGGGGAGTATTTGTTCAAATGTACTCAAAGAGAAGCCTGAGTGACAATGAATCAATATATAAAAAACTACTAATGAATTTAAAACTAAATTACTAAATAACTGGGTGTTACCATTTGAGTTTTGATTGAATTTGTTTTAAAAATATCCCTGGATTTCCAAAATATTCCACAGATTCTGAGGAGAAAATTGTGGAAAACAAGAAACATTTCCATAGCCCTGGTACTGCAACAATAAAATTTCAATACGCTCAGCACAAGGCCGAGTCTTTCAGGAATGGAAGGAAAGAATGACTTCTACTACACTCCTGGGGGCAGAATGCAATAACATGAGTTAGGATTTGCTCGGGAGCCAGGGTTAATACCTCTGAATCTCTTCTATAAAGTGCTGAAGAAATGTTTGTGACATGACTGCTCAGAAGACCGTTTTGGATGTCATCTAGAAGAACATTATACACCATTCCAATTTCTCCCCTACCCGGTTTTCACAGGGGAAGTCATAGGAGAGGGAGGGCCTCTGGCCTCCTCATCACTTCCTGTCACCTTCATAAAAACGAAGAGGTAAACAAGAGAGAAGAATAAAATTCACTGGCAAAAATGTTGAGATTGCTGCTGCTTCTGGTGCCTGGTAAGAACCTAGAAATTCTTCCCCAAGCCTGGTGCACAGGCGGAGCACAGCTTCCCTACAGACACGCATAGGCCGGGAGATCAATGAGAATGTTTGCAGTGTTCTG